GGCGCGGATCTGGGGAGGCGGGTGAGGAGAAAGAAGGGCATTAAGAGAGCGAGCTCCCCCAGGGTGCAAAAGGGGTGAGGGGAGAGGAAAGGGAGGAGCCGGGTGTTGGCTCTGAGGAGAAGACCGCGAGCGCCTAGCGCCAAGGTTTCCCCGCCGCAGACTACTCCTCAGCGTTTAAGGCCCGGCGCTCAGAGAGGTACGCTGAGGTCCGAGGGGTGACCCCAAACGCCGTTTAGCCCGTCGCGTAGCAGAGAAGCCCGATCGCGCCCCCAGCCCAGGAAGGCAGGGATGGTGGTTTTTCTCTCAGGCGGGGCGCTCAGCGATGGAGCCTGAGAGAAGCCGGGCCCGGCTCGCGTGGGGCGGTGGGTGGCGCAGCCCCCATCACCGAGTCCGCCTCCAGCCACCCGACGCCGCCCGGCCCCTCAGGCTAAGCCCTACTTTCAGAGCCGGCTCTCAAGAAGGCCGGAGCCGGGGCTGGAGGAGGAGTCTCCCGTACCCCGCTTCAGCTGTGAGGCGCTTCTCTCCTCAACCCGCCAGGCGTCAGCTTGGGCTCTGCGGGGCGAGGGGCGGGGCGGTTCGGGGGCGGGGCCTGGGCGGACGAGGGGCGGGGCGGCAGGGAACTGATTCGGGGGAAGGGGCGGAGCCACGGGTCAGGGTGGGCGGGGGGAGGGTGTGACTACTGGAAGGGGCGGAAGTAAGGGCGGGGCTATGGGCTGTGGACCTAACGGGACTGGATGGTTGAACGCAGGACTAGTACCGGCTGGGTGGGGCCTCTGGAGGGTCCTAGGTCTCTGGCTTGGTTGGTATTTGCACTCTTGGAGCTCTGACAGGGACCTCATCTGTGCGGGAGTATGACAGGGCCTGAAACCCGGCCCTATAGTTCAAGTGTGACAGGTGGCAATGTCTAACCCCTGGAGTCGTTCAGCTAAGGCTACCTGAGGAAGTTATTTAATCCCTTGAATCTGTTATTCTCACTTGTAATGGCAAATAGCCAGATCATAACAACAGTAGTAATTCATTAAGAGGACTAGATGCCTTTCAAATAAAAATAATGAAAAGGCTCTTGGATTGTTTGATAACCCAGTTAAAAGAAGCAAATTATAATTCTAGATTTAACTTTATCACTTATTTGACATGAGTTATTGACATGGATGAAGAACACATAGAAGTCATAATATTCCACTATCCGGGAATGTTACCTACAAAACTAGTTATTGTGTTGTCAACTTAGTTCATCTTATAGCTCATGTATGAAAGAAACTTAAAGGCTTTCCCAAATTTGACAATCTTAACATTTTCTTGGTATTACGCTTTACAATTTAAGGAAAACTTTTTAAATTATCCACTCCAAAAACAACAATCTTGTCAAGACCAAATTATCTTCTCTATATCTTTACAGAAAGACAACAAAATAATTGTTTTATGTGTTGATAATCAAAGACTATATAGCAAAAAGTGGAGAAAAAAAATTCCTATGGATCTGTATCATGTAGGTAGTTAATAAAAATATGCTGTTTCTAGGTTTTATGAGGTTGGTGATTTTGTCAGCTTTAAAAATGTTTGTCATTCTAAAAAAGAATATTCCCTTTCTTTTTAAAATAAACAATTTAATTTTGCTTTCTTTCTAACCCGTTAAAACATTTTAATTTTGCTTTCTTTCTAACCCGTTCTGTATTTATTACATTGTGTCTTTTTTTCCTTAAAAAAAAAAAAACCTAAATTTTATAAACTCAGGCCTCACAAAATCTGATCTTGTTCCTGCCAGACCCTGTCTCTTGACACATTGGATTCCTCCTATGCTCATTGCCTGGCGAAAACTATTTGTCAGAAAACCATTGTGCATGAATGAATGAATGACTCAGAAATTGGACACAGTGAGCTACATGAAAACATGAATTTTGGCTCTTTGTCATCGTTGTCGTTACTGCGGTCCGGTCTCATGTGCAGAACAGTGCCTGGCAACACATATGTTTTTTGTTTCTTTGTTGTATTGAATCCAGGTGTGTCCAGCTGTAGACCATGCTTTCTTGCCATTGCTTCCACTCAATCTATTTCCAAAGCACTTTCCCAAGACTTTCTCCAAGGCTCTGACAGGTGTCATTTTCAGTTAGGTAAGGATAAATGGAGGATCAAAGGTGGAGGCAACTTGCCCCAGGTTGCTCAACCAGTGACAGAGTTGAAATTCAAACCCAGATCTCGAGGACTAGAAAATTTCGTCTTCCATGGCTCTAGAAATACAATGTCCCCCAATAAGGGAGAAGATACTGAAGATGTCAGTCCTACAACCCAGAGCCAACATGTCCCTGGGGGAATTACTTCTCATGGTCACCAGGTGGCGCCCATGCAGAGAGTATGTAGTTGATCATGGCTTGCTAGCAATCGGTAAAGAATACAAAAAATATTAGAAGTCAAGATATTGAACTGCCAGTTTCATTTCTTTTTAACTGTTCTGCTTTTGCTTCTGCGACCATTGTTCTTTGGGCCTCCATTTTCTCCTCTTTCAATTGGGAATATTAATGTGTACTTCCTAGCTAGGTGACAACTTAATGGTGTCTGGGGGATAGTAAATGTTCAACAAGCATGTCACCTCCTTCTTCCAGAAGGCCCCACAGAAAGTCTCCAGCTATCCAGCATTCTTCTTAATCCTGTACATTAGCCAGGAATGATAATCAGAAGGAATAAAGGGAAATTCTTTTCTGTTAATCATCTACTAAGGTAGGCTGGAAGGAGGCCCTCATATGCTGATTCCTGGAACTTATCAACATTACTTTATAGGGTCTCCCTGGTGGTTCATGGATTAAAGTCTCAGCACTCTGGAGCTATACACAGCTACTGCAGCACAAATTCGATCCCCAGCCAGGAAGCTAATCCACATGGTACGGCAAACCTTTCCTGTCTCACCTGCTGCTCTCCTCAGTAGCTCAGCCTGTTCTGATTTCTGCTGTCTCTGGTGAAACCTCTCCCCGCACCACCACATATCTCTGGCCTATACCCCAGTTCTTGTGTGCATAAATAAATAAAATAAATCTTTAAAAAATCACATTATAAAAGGTGGGAGGCATCTTTGTAGATGTCATTAAGGCTCCTGAGCTGGGGAGATTACCCAGGATTATCCAGTGGCCCTAAATACAGTCACAGTTCTCCTCAGGAAGACAGAGATCTTACAGAAGAGGCATGCAAAACAAATGCAGAGGCAGGGGTCACACGCCCTGGAGTCAAGAATGGCTGCAGCCACCTAGGAGCTCCCAAGGCCAGGAGCAGACCTCCCTTGTGCTTCCAGAGGGAGTGCAGCCTGGCCCACACCTTGATTTTTGGTCCATGAGCTGACTTTAGCCCAATGAAAGAGGAGTAAGATTGAGACCTTTCTAATAAGTGGAGCTTCTCAGGAAGTGGGAAAGACTGAGCCTCGAGGACCCACTCTAACAGCAAGAGGCAGCTGGTCTTTTGAGAATGAAGGAAACATGTGTCTAACCAGACCCTCCATCTGCTTTTCACATGTCCCAGACCCCTGCTGGGATAGACCACATGACTAATTCCAGCCAATGGCTATGGGCAGAAGGGACATATATCGCTTCTTGGCTCAAGTGTAGAACTAATGTATAGTGACCTAGAATGAGCATCTAGATAGCAATTCCAGGGAAGAGTTGTGATTGGCTTTGCTAGGTCACATGTCCAACCACTTGGCCAATCACGTCATTAGATTGACTGTGAATTATGATTGGCCAGTCCTGGTCACATGCTCATCCCCATGGAAAGGGCCTATTGCTGCTAGATGAAGGGGAATAAGGCCTACTGGAAAACAACAAACCACAGTTACTGCACCTGGGAATTGGGGTTGTCCTGTTCTTCATCGTGGCAACATGGCCACACTAGCTAAACACTCTCACACATTAAGCTCTTTCTTTTTTTTAATAGTCATCATATGCAAAATGCCCAAGAGTAATATTATTACTACCAAGATCTTGCTAGAAGCCATATAACATATTTGTATTTTCAAAGCCTGTTCACACCTACTTTGCACTTCATCACACTTCATCACACTTGTTTGCACTTAATCACAACCTGATAGGTGACAGAAAAAGAACCAGTGACCCGGAGTTGAATGACACAGTCAGAGAGACATGGTATTTGAGGACAGAGGAGAAGTCAGAGCCCTGGCTTCCTGGCTCCCACTGTAGCATTCTCTTCTACAACATCACAATCAAAATTGAGGTGCTAGGTGGAAAGGCTCAAGCCCAGGTGCATCCCTGCCGGCTAAGGGAGGGAGCTCCGCCTGCTGTCTACCCCTGGGAAGGCCTGGGCCAGCCTCCTGGAAGCCATGGGCTGCCAGGCCCTGCTTTCAGAGCCTGCCCGAGCTCTGATGGGGGACGTCCCTCTGCTGGACCTGGAGTCCTCCCAGCGGGCACTCTCAGCTCGCAGCTCCTCCAGGACACTGTGGAGATGCTTCAGCGTGAGCAGGAGTCTCTGGTCTTGGATCTGCATCTCAGCCTAGGGGAGAGAGAGTCTGTGAGGCTGGCTGCAGGGCACTGGATGCCCCCCAGAAAGCTTGTCCCATCACTTCTCATCAGAACAAGCCCATATCTGCAGAAGCCGTGTCCCCCTCTTTCTAGTAGAAAGCAAATGATTTACCTTTCAAGACTTGTAAGACTGGAGGAATGAATAAGTCAACCCATGCTCAAGAACATGACAGGCTGAACCAGCAAGCTGTGGATTATCTTCATCATCGCCATCAATATTAAATATTACCCTTACATACAGCCCTACTGCTCCTTTAGTCCTCATTCTAACAACCCATGTTATAAGGAGTAAAGTGACAACAGAGTCAGGCAGGACCCGCTCTTAGCCCCATGAACGTGTACCTCCAACTAAATTGCTAGCACCCCAGTCTTGCATCAGCCCCGGCTTTGCAGAGGGCTGGGGCTAAGACAGGAGGCGTGCTCCATACAGGACTGTAACAGCCTATAGGTGAGCCAGGCAGGACCTAGTGAGTATTACCAGCTCTCTGAATTCTCACAGTAACTCCTGCAATGCCAGTACTATTGCCATCCCCATCTGATGAAAGAAAACTGAGGCCCAAAGAGGGAGCAGCCAGCTAGTGGTCACACAGCAGCCGCTGGGCGTGCGCCCAGGACTCAAAGTAATACTAAAACCGGTCTGGCAAGCACCGCAGGAGAACGCTATGTAGGCCGTGACCTACTTCTCCCAGCAAAGATATGGAGACACAGGCTATGTCCCTGGCCCCAGAGGGGTGCCTGTAGGGCCTCCCCCAGCCAAGGGGCAAGGGAAGAGGACCCAGAAACCTTGGAACATATGGGGTGCAGGTGTCACATCAAAAGATGCAAAGGCTTACCAGTTCTCTTCTCAGCCACTCCAGGGTCTGCCCAAGATTCATGGCTGGCGCTCCTGCTGTCTTCATCTCAGTGTCCTGGGAGAACTGGACTCCACCTGTGGTGGGACCTTTGGCCTGCACAGTATCCTTCTCACTTCAGCCTGAAAACAGGGTCTTGCCGAGTCACGGAGGATGCAGTTAATGAGAGCAGGCAGTGGCTCACACTGGAAAATGTAGGTTGTGTGTGTGTGTGTGTGTGTGTGTTTAAAGGTTTCAGTGCTCTGAATAGAATAAGGAGGAAGGGGGATTCTTGGGGGGTGGGTATCTAAGTGCCTGTAAATCCCAGAATTCAAATCTAATGCCAGTAGGACCACGGCTGTAAAGCTCTCAGCATACCAGCAGTAATGATTGTGAGAACAGGTGCCTCGCTCTGCACCTGCTGCTTGCTTCACTCCAAGAGTGTTGCTTATGTACATATGTATGTGAGCTCCTGTGGGGCACCCCCCTATTTCTGAAGTTGGAAAAAATTGACTCTGTCTGAGTCCCCAATCCCCTTCTCCCGTCCTCACCTATTTATAGTCTGGATAAAGGGAAATGTTCCCTTTCCTTGTCCTGCTTCTGGGATACCTGCACAGCCCATTTCTAGAAAGTGAGATCGAAGCAGGAATTTGCTGTTAGACTTCTAGGAAAAGTTTTTCCTACCTGAGAAAAGGAAACACATGACTGATTCTCTGCCTCACTCCCTCGTTCTTGCCCTTGAAGGTGAATGTGGCGCCTGAGCTACCACCTAGCAGCCCTAAGGAAATGGGCAAAGACTTGCAGAGAATCTGACATCACTGGTGTGTGGAGTCACCACATCTGCCTGTCGTGTGACCTGATAAAGCCATTTTTAATTGGGTCAACACAGTCCTCACCGACACACCGTTCGCTCTTCACAGCACATTTGAGGTGGGTGTTCCTTAGTTCTTTCAGCAAATATGTATGGGGTTTCTACTGTGTCCTCCAAGTTCTGCTCTATGCCCTGGGGAGGAAACCTCAAATCAGAGAGACACAGGTCCTGCTTTCCTGGAATCTACACCCTAGTGGATAGAAATAAGCAATCATAAAGGTGGGGCCTTGATTAAATAAGTAGACTTTATTTTCATGTAGGTGTTTTTAGTGTTTTTTTTAAATTTTATTTATTTATGCATAAAAGAACTGGGGTACAAGCCAGAGGTGCAGGGGTGGTGAGAGGATTCACCAGAGACAGAGCGGGGAGCAGAATAGGCTGATCAATGAACTACAATGCTGAGGGGAGCAGTGGGAGGGTCAGGAGAGGTCTGCTGCGCCATGTGGGTCAGCTCCCTGGCTGGGATCAAACTTATGTTGAAGCAGCTGCGGCTAAGTTCGTAGTGCTGCGCTTTAACCCGTTATACTACAGGTTAAAACCAGGGGAGGGCCCTGGTTTTGTTTGTTTGTAATGTCTTCTAGCCACATGAAAGGAGCTCCACACTAAGAATTAATGTAGTGATTCCTCATAACAAACCAACCGGCTTTGGGCGGTCTTGCCTTGAAATGAGGCTGGCTCTGAGCTGTCAACCATGGATAGAGTTCCTTGGGGGAACTCATCTCCCACAACGACAAAGCACCAAGAAATCACCAGAAGGGAGAACTGGCAGACACCACCACAGCAGGACCAACTTTCTCTCCCCCAAGAACTTCCGATAAAGAGAACAACAACAACAGCAAAAATTGAAAATAATTAAAGTCATTCAAGCAGGAAACAAAAGCAAGGGTTGTGGGGGGTGGGGAGATTATAATACTATTTAAAAAGGAGATTTGAAAAAGAACTAGAGTTTATAGAAGTAAAAATTATAGTAAATGTTTACTGTAGATCAGGAAAGCAAAGAGAACGTGTATTTAAACTAGCACAAGAACAGGGCACAGGAACCAGGGAAGCTGGCTGGGCTCAGGAGGGAAGTGTGGCTTAGGAGTCTCCCGGCAGAGGGCTCTCTGGAGCGCGGCCTCCCGCCAGATGAGGGGGTAGGGGATGCTGGCCTCAGGGCTCCACCCTGGGGCAGACCTGGGGTTCCTTCCAAGAATGACAGGACAGGGCAGGAAAGGGGTGCAGTCAAGGAAGCCACACCACCTTTATGACCCTGCTCTGCCAAACTTTTCTTATCCTTTCAGCATAATGAGGCTTAAATAATTATGCAAATGAGTTGTAAGAAACATCACATTTCTTGTTTCCTGGGGTTTTTAGCCTAAGGTGCAATCTGACTGCTGCACGCGGATAGCCTTTTATGTGCAATTTCTCCCAGTCCAGCTGTCACTTTTCAGAAGCAGAGAGGATCTAAGAAACTCACCTGTGATCTTCACAGCCCTTCTGAACACAGGGGCCAGAAGTTATTTCTTCTAGGCAGGTCATCAGGCTCTATGTCACACGACCCTGTCATTATGGATCGGAGGTGGGTGTCACACAGGAGGCAGCCATTTGCTGGCAGGACAGGAGGGGCTCACGAGCTGGGGCACTGGGGTGAAAGGAGGCATGTTCAGGGTGGTAGCAGCGATGCTGTCAGACCTCCAGGTCTGAATTTGCAGATTCAAGAAGACACAGACAGCCACAGAGTTGCCCCAAGGACACTATGTAATGACCCTCCCTGAAATTCCTCCATGCCTGCAGCAGATAAGCATTTATGACTGCTCTTCACATTCTCTACAATGCCAAGGGGTGAGGGAGTGAGTGGAACCCCGCAGGTCTGTTGAGGCCTTGGCTCTATACTGCCCGTGGCAGGTCTGCTGTGTCCCTGAGGGCCAGCTGAAGAACACAGGGGTCCACCCAGCCTACGGAGAGGTGGCGGCAAGTGTGTGGAACTGCGGAGGGACGGAGAGGTGGAGCTGAGCAGGCTACGCTAGGGAGGTAGTAAATTCAGGGCCGCAGGCCCCGAGGGATCAGGGCAGACGCCATGAGGTGGCAGCAGCTGGAGACAGCGAAGGCGGCGACGGGCATTTACTGATCTACTCTGGGCCTGAGTTGTGTTATGTTCCTGACACACACAACCCCATTTCATCTTCAAAACCCAATGCCTACAGTTCCCAAACTGTGCTGAGGCATCCAAAGGCAGGCACAGGGATCCTGCAAACATGTTTTACAGTTTTGAAGGAAACACACAACATTATCGGTTGGATGCTATGCAAAAACTACTATTATTAGATTGCTCGAAACTTATTGGTTAACACACAACGGTTAGGCATTCCTGTAGAACCTGGTGCACTGTGAAAAAGCACCGACATGCTAAGGCTGCTGTGAACTTCTGCCTGTGAGGGAGGTGTCATCGTTATCTGCATTTTATAGTTGCTTAATATTAACCCTTTTTATAGCTGAGTGAACAGAAGCTCAAAGAGATATGGGTTTACCTAGGGTTACCCCTGCAGGTGAGCATAGGCTGGAATCAGCACCTACCTCCCAGACCTTGGTGGGGGTGAGGGGGAGTGAGCAGTCTTCTATGTTGTCCTGTAGAGGTGGGGGCGGGGCGGGGGCAAGCAGGGGCTCAGACAAAGCCCCACAGAGGTGTTGGTGGGAGCACCTGACAGTTGGAGTCTAGAGTGCTGTCCTGCTCTCCAGTGCTGTTGTCTAATTACCCTGAAAGCCATTTCTTGTGGTTAACTATTTTGATGCACTTTCATTTATTTTTAATCCCCCTCTTAGGATTCTGGCTCAGAGCACATTTTACTTTACAAGCTAAGAAAGGCTTGGCATGTGGAGATAAGGGAAGGTGGAGCCAGGGCACCTGGAAAGGGAAAGAACTTAAACCCCTGAATGAGGGAAAATATCCCTCCCCCAACAGAAAAGCCAGAATGAGCACCCATTCATCATCCACGGACAGCAAGGAATAGAACTTTCGTGTGCCAGCTCCTGCAGTAGGTGCTGGCAGCAGCGTGTTGAGCAAGAAAGAACTCACTCGTGACCTCATGGACCACTAGCAATCAAGAGGCTCAAACATTGTACTCTGTTATGAATGAATGGGTGAGTGAGAGTGAATGGACTTGTAAATGAAGAAACTATGGCTCAGGCAGAGATGTCGTTTACTCAAGCAAGTCAGCAGCTATGGGGAAAATTGCAGGTTTTGCCTCAGTTTCCCTCCTCCCAGTCTCACACAGTGAAAGATGACATCCCAAAGGCCTCTGCGGATAAGTGCAGCCATGTGATTACCCTGGCTGGTGGGCTAGGAATGGAGGTAACATGTGGCTCATACCCTTGCAAGGAAGGAGGAGGGTCCCTCCTCCTTTCCTTGGTCCTCCTTTGGCTGCCTGGAATGTGGCCCTAAGGTGGAAGGTGGCAGATAGAAGGAAACCAGATTTTTTGTAACGGATAAGGCTACCATGTCAGCCTCAACTGGCTTGTCTACTTTTACGTGCGAGAGAAATAAGTTATCGTATTGAAGACACTATTATTTTGTGTCGCTGTAATAGGAGTCAAGCCAGAGGCCTAAAAACACAGCCACAGAGCTATCTGCAGGAGCCAGCTCCCCGTCCTCCCCCACTCAGTCCTTTCCATAATCATCCTCTCTCCCCTATGTAGTAAGTGACTTAAGTGCTTTCCTCTCTTATAAGGGTTTCCTTGTTCATGACCTAACCTCCTTCCTACACGAGCTCTGGGAATTTCACAGCAGAGAGAGGACTTCGGGGGTGCTTGCTGGCAAGTAAGGAGCTTGAGGTGCCAGAGCAGCAAGTGACTTGCCTGCCAGAGGGGCAGAGTCATCACCTTCTCCTTCAAGGGACAAGTGGGCTCTGAGATGTCATTTGGCTCCTCCTCCACGTCGAGGGCCCTTCCCCCCCCCCCCCCCCCGGAGGCTGTCCCCTTCTCTATTGTGGGCATCTTAGGCTTCATCCCCACTTCATAAAATACAAATGAGTGAAAGTTCAGCTGAGAGAAACTTCTGCATTGTGAGAGCTCTCAAGTGTTCCCAACCACGTGAGTACATGCCAACCAGAGAGGCTGAAGACGGGGTACAGTTGGCTGGGGAGCCCCAGCACCACCTCTCTTGTGGCTGCTAATCCCCCCCAGACCCTCCTTCCTGCAGTCATTTGTCTTCCGCCAGTGCCCTGGCTGTGTGCACTTGTGGGTCCTGAACACACGCCCTGCAGCCCTGTGACCAAAGCGCCATCCTTACCCCTGACTACTCACTTCTCCATGTGTACCCGGGCTTTCCCGCAAAGCACAGCTGACTCTGCTTACAGGACACCCTCCATCCATGCACAGCAGGCTGGAAGCACTGGGAGAGGCCTGCAGCAATGACAGCAGATGCTGAGAGCAAACGCCTCCCTTCCCTTCTGTCCACTCTAGGTGGGCCGGTGCCCCACCCAGCAGGGTTGAGCCCCAGCCGCCACAGCAGTCACGGGGCCACCTCTGCACGGCAGGCACTGGAGGTCTTCCCTTTCCTGTCCCCACTTGGCTCCCCCACATGCTTCCTGGGATCAACTCCCAGGGAAACCATGTGCTCCAAAATTCTTGCTTTGGGTCTGCATCTGGGGAAACTGAACCCCTGAAGGGCATCCATGTGTGCCTGTACACGTGGGCCCTGTATACCTCTTGCTGTGCACACTGGTATGGGCAAGAGCACCCCAAATATAGGTACTCCAGTCCTCTGCTCTGCACACAGGTGCGCTGTTACATGTGTCCTACCTCTGGCCCATGCCCGGGTACCCAGTACCTAGTCCTATGTCCTCAGGTCAGGGAAGAGCTTGTTCTTGCCCTGGACGACCTGGCAGCCCCTGACCCCGAGTTGGTGGATTGGGAAGCAGAATGAGACCGTGGGAAGTGGGTCCCTTGGCCTCAGCTAGCCTCGGCGTGACTGCTGTAAGACCTGAGCCCCAGTTACCTCCCCTGAGGAATGACCTCTAAGTTACCAAACTGTCGGAGGGTGGGGAGACCAGGTGAGACAACCTAGGTGAGGCCAGCACAGGCCTCCACATTTCATCAAGGTTGCTCAGTCCTCTCTTCCTGGCCCACCTTTCCCCAAGGGAGTGGCTTTCATCCATCGACCCCAGTGCCTCCATTGCACCAGGCCCTATGCTGACCTGGGGAGAAGCGAAGGCTAGGTCCTGCCCCCTGGAGCCGCCAGGCTGAGGGGCTCCCTCTTGCAGAGGCTGAGAACGTGGGTCTCGATTTCCCTCGTCCTCTTCCAGGGCAGGAAGAGCCAGCACCCAGGTTTTCCCTTTCTCAAGGCTGGAAGCGGCAGACAGACCAGGTGGAGAGGAAGCAGTGCCAGCTGGACTGGCTGAAGGTGTGCGTGTGTGGCACAGCCTCCAGGGCCTGGAGCGTGGCCACCCACTCATTTCCTCAAATTCCTGAACCATATCCCATTACCACGCTATCAGAGCCACTTCATGAAAGCATCCAGGAAAACTAGATGAGCCAGAGGATGAATAGAAAACAAGTACATGAACTTAAACACCTGAGCTCAGCAAGATGCTCACAGAGGATGAAACTGGGTGGGGGAGGGGAGAGAGCGCCTGTGGCTCAGCGGCCTTGGCTCTTTAGTCTATCTGAGGCCCCCAGATCCAGCTGGGAGTCAGAGGCCCTTGCTTCCTGTCTCACTCCCACCAACCTTCAGTGTGACCAACCTCTTCTCTCGCAGACACTCAGTTTTCCCAAATGCAAAGGTGGGGATACTATTCACAATCCCTCAGGAACCTTGCACAAATCTGAAAGTCATTCAGCAACCTGAGTTCATACGGATGCCTCCGATTCTGCGCCATCACAACGTACATCACATCACACACACCACAGAGTGTGACTGTTGACCTTGCCCTTAACGACCTGGCTGGGTTTGCCAGCTTTCTCCCCTGTAGAGTCTCTCCCCTCACCCTCTCATACTGGAGTCTCTGAAAGTCACTATGCTCAGCCCACACTTAAGAATTGGTTCCGGGCCCAGTGCTTTCCGGGTTAGAGCACAGCACTAGGAAGCTAAAGCCACTTCCGCATGAGTTCGATCCCCGCCTGCCCCGGAGGTGACCACATGGCACGGCAGACCTCTCCTGACCCGCCCGCTGCTCCCCTCAGCAGTGTGCTTCGTCAATCTGCCTGTTCTGCTCCCACTCTGTCTCTGGTGAAGCCTCTTGCTGCCTCTGGCCTTTACCCCAGTTCTGTATGCACAAATAAATAAATCTTTAAAAAAAAAAAAAAGAATTGGTTCCTCCTCCTGGAGGGTTTTCAACAGATGTGGAATTCTGCATGGGAAATTTCTCTTTTCTCCATTTACCATATTTTGGGTTACAACCCCGTATTATTTGTTGGTCAATTTTTTAAAAAGATTTATTTATTTATTCATACAGAACTGGGGTACAAGCCAGAGATGAGGAGGGTGAGAGGATTCACCAGAGACAGAGCGGGGAGCAGAACAAGCCGACTGATGAAGTACACTG